TGGAGTGATAGTTTAGAATATATCGTGTATCGATGCACAGTGAGTGCATCGATGCACCCATTAAAATGGAAACATCAAATGGGATTTATGCACCGATGCATAGATAGTGCATCGATGCACCCGTCTAGGGATGCATCGATACATGGGGTAGTGCATCGATGCATGCTTCTATTAAAAGTTGAAAATAGCTTTCTTTTTATCCTTTGGAGTGATAGTTTAGAATATATCAACTGGATACTAATATGTATCAATGTATGATTATGTAGATATCGAACACGAATAAGTTTCGGAACGATCATCAAGTTAAGATTCGATCGAAAGAAAGGAAAAATCACAAAAGTGAATTGGAACTTAGTGAGGCTCAGGTGAGTGCATATGCATTAGTATATGATGTGTGTGGAAAAGACTCGCGATGAGTCTACTTCCAACATTCGATTACATGATTTTATGAATATTAATATGGGTGATATGATTATTATTTATGCATGAATATAGTCATAGGTGTTATATGTGAACATGTGAATTATATGAAAAGTGATATGAATTATATGAAAAGAAGCTATATGTCTACATGTATATGTGAAAGAAGCTATGAGCTTATATGAACAGGTGATATGAAAATGTATATGTGAAATGATATAAGTGAAAATGCCCATGTTATGTGTAAAGAGAACTAGAGGTATAGTTGGCATGCCAAGAGTCGAGGGTTCTACGTGGTCCTTAGGGACATATATGTATTCTTTGGAACATTTACAGGGTCTTGTGAGACACATATGTGATCCATTGAAATATGTATATGGTTCTTAAGGAGTGGTCCTTCGGGAAAAATACAGTGCATAGGTCCTTCGGGACAAAATTCATAGCCCCTAGTGGGACCCCATACGAGCTGTGGTGACAGCATAGTGCACAACCTCAATAGACTCATATATCTACAGTTCTCACATATGTACATGGGCTAACAAAGAGATAAGAATAAACATAGATATTACGTGTAAAGTATATGCTTTTGTCATATGAATTATATTATATGATTGATATAATGATGTGTATATGTGTACATTTGATTACATGAAATGCTATATTGTTTTGTGTGATAGCACGATATGATATGTTCATGCATGATTAAGTAGTTAAAGGTACTTTAATGTGTTTAATGCCTCACTAAGTCATAGACTTAGCGTGTGAGTGTTTCACACGTAGGTTCTGGAAAGCAAGAAGAGAAGTTTAGAGGAGCAAGACAGGTCAGCATTTTCCTTACAACATTTCAGATCAGAAAATAAATGATTTAAATGTGTTTGGTTAATCTGAACATAGTTGGCATGTACTAATTGATTGAGCTGAATATGCTCTGATCGATTTTGGTTATTTTGGTCAATTTATGTAAATAAACAGTTTTTATTTTAAATGAAAGTTTTTAAATTTTCTTTGAATTTTTGTCAAGAGTCAAAGTTTGAAAAGTCAATGTGACACCCTAAGTAGACAAAATACAATGTGTTCAAAGATCAAATTCACCCGATAACAAACAAAAAAAGGATATTCCAACTGTAATAAATAAATTTTGCTCATATGAAAGTATTGAATTCTGCAAACAAAGAGAACAAGAATGTGCTCAAATCAATTGAAGTCCTAAATTAATAAAAAAAAGAGGACAAAAAGCACATATAAGGAGTTCCTTGTATGAAAAGGCTCATTGAACCTTCAAACCACAGGGTTGATCAAGTACGACTGGTCTAGAGATCCAGATTTAATTCACCAAAAAATTAAGAAATTACAAAGGTATAGAAAAAAGATATGAACTCTAGGGTGAAAACCCACAAGTGGACAATCTACAAGAATCCAAGAGAAAATAATAAAAGGCATGTGAAAGCATATTCAAATCATTCGAAACGAGATCGAAGACACCATAATGAATTGATTCTTGGTTTTATTACCCTTAAATACTTGTTTGAGCCTATTTATCCTTTTCTTTCATAACTGTGAGTCATGGCTTACATTACGTAGCTTAAAAGTCCCTTCTAATCATACATGGATTTCTAAGTATGAGAGACTATCCTCAGATTTAATTTACACCCCTCAGGGTTAATCTTTTATTTGTAAAAAGTTTTCTAAAATATTTAATGCATGATAGAGAAAAAATAACAAAGGGAGGTTCAAGATGAAAAATTGCGAATGACATCTTGAAACCAAAGGAGGATTTGAGTTGAAAACTTGAAATGGTAGCTCGAATATGAAAAATGGGCAACAGAAATGCTACAACAAAGAAGTCAACCTGAAACACCTTACCTTTTTAGAATCAACCTATACCTCAAATATACTATTAGTCTTTATAATTGTCAAAGGATATATTTTTTTGAAAAAATAAAAAAGTAATTATATATAATGAACCTATGTTTTATAATTTGCTTCAATTGTGAACCTAAAGTAAGGGGCACCTTTTTTTAAAACTTCTTCATCGAACTTTTTCACATTTTGAAAAATGAAAGAGGAAGAAAAACATTTTCAAACAAGATAAACTCTCTAAGGGTTGTATCTTAGAATTTGAAAAATGTCCATCACACTTAGAAGCTCAAAATCAGAAATTGGGGAAAGAAAATTGAACGTCGGGGGCAATATTTGACAGACCAAGAAGAGTAGTTTTTTACAAAGAAATGTAAGGGTACACTCTATGTGAGAGAACAATGAAGATGAACAAATCAATAAGAGAATGAAGATTGCTTGTGCATCTTTTCATTGCTATTAATCAGGAAAAACATGCATCGACATGCACATACATGATCTTGCATCTTTGCATAAAACATCCATCATCATATGCAACATAAAAAGCATTGAATTCTCGTCTCATGAGGATGCCTTTACAATTTCTCTTGAAATATTGTCTTTCTTAATAACATTTTCTCCTATCATGAGGACAAATTCAAAAATTCATTTTTATTAAAGATCAAGATATCATATAAAATTCAGTCTGACACCCGAGAAAATATTTAAGTAAATTACATTCACAAATGCATGATTTTTACAGATCTTCCAAGAAAATAAGAAGATTCATAATGTTAAAATCTCAAAGAGATAATATCAAATTTTAAACCTCAAATTGAGGAAATCATGTTAAGAGTGGCATTACCTTTTGAAGTGGGCCATAACACCTGATCATTATGATGTCTTCGTATGATATTCATGGAAAATGAGAAAGCGATTTCAAAGTTTCTCATTTAGTACGAAAACTTTTATCTCACTTGACACTGTTTTACTCAAAATAAATTTTGTCTCACTTGAGACAGTTTTCCTTAAGACACGAACATTTGATATTGTTTCCTTAAAAAACAAATTTCGTCTCGCTTGAGACAGTTTCCCTTGAAACACAAATTTTGAAATTGTTTCACGAAACAAAATTTTTATCTCACTTGAGATATTTTATCTTAAAATACTAAATTTGAAATTATTTCATTCAAAATTTTTGTCTCACTTGAGACAAGTTCCCCTTGAAACACAAATTTTGAAATTGTTTCACTCGAAACAAAATTGATCTCACTTGAGATTATTTTTTCTTAAAACCAACTTCATCTTGCTTGAGACAATTTCCCTTGAAACGCAAGTTTTGAAATTGTTTAACTCGAAACAAAATTGATATCACTTGAGATTGTTTTTATTAAAAACAATTTCGGCTCGCTTGAGGTAGTTTCTCTTTAACCATAAGTTTTGAAATTGTTTCACTTGAAACAAAATTTTATCTCACCTGAGATAACATCTTTTGATTTTTTTTTTTCATTTTCATCCAAATGTTGAATATTTGACAGAAATTCCAAAGTTAGCTGAGATTTCATTTGACAATTCCATGTTGAAGATGAAGATTTCAGCAAAGAATTAATCAGTATCTTCATATTTCAAAGAAGTCGATCTCGACAAAGATTCGAGAACCTTTGGGTCAATACCTTCGGGAACTTCAAACACAATTGTTACTGACATATGGTAATTCTTTATACAGATTCAAATCCATCATAAAATGAGGTGGATCAACATTTCCAATGGAAGGGTTCATAATGAGAAGAACTCGCCCGAAGAAGGATAAGAAGTTCATAATGAGAACAATTCATCCTAAGAGATAGAAGAGGTTCATAATGAGAAGAACTTGTTCACCCTTTTGCTTGATTCTATCACAAAAGGAGATAAACTAACATCAACATTTTGTTCGATTTCATCACAGAATGAGGTGGATCAACATTATCATTCTTGCTAGATTTCATCACAGAATGAGGTGGATCAGCACATTTGAAGGAAGAAGTTCTTATAAGAGAGCTTGTTCGACCTCAACATGACCTTTATGGAAGAATTTGCAGTTTATATAGGAGAACTCGCACAATTTTTCAAAAAAGAGCGAAATCTTTTGATTCCATAGAGTAGAGGAGTCAATTGAAGGTTAATTTTTAGTTGATAAAAAATGATGAAAAAAGAGAAAATGGGGAAATTTTGAAAAGGAAAAAAATTGAAAAAAAAAAGAGAAAGAGAGAAAAAAAGAGAAAATTGAAAAATTAAAAAATAGATTGGGGCAAACCGAGAAAGAAGATTTTCAGATGCAGAAAGACAAATCATTCAATTGGAAATATGGAGAAACAAATCAATTGGAAATATGGAGAAACAAATCAATAGAAGATTGCAAGACATTGGCGCTGGAAAGACGAAGCCGTAATCAGATCAAACAAAATTAAGCTATCTTTTGTCTTTGCTCTATTATTCTATTCACAACAACGAGCAAATAGGGATAGATGTAATACCTAATTTTTTCCAAACATTTCAAATCGGATTGAAGAGGACCGAAGACCAATTGAGGGTTTTCACGTGTTGAGGTCGGATTTATTCAAATGGCACCGGCAATTTAATGGAAAATCGTTTGTAAAGTTTCTTAGAGTGTTGAAGAAATTCAATCGTGAATGATGGATTTATGCCTTTGCTAATTTGGGTTTAGTTAAGTTCGGGATCATATGTTCATGTTATTAAAACTAGAATTAAAACCGTTTTTATTGGATACCCAAATGCCCAAATTCTAGTGTCCAAATGAAATGTCCATTTACATACCCAAATGTTCCAAACCCAAATTAAATTACATCTTTTTGTTCCATTACAAACCCTGAACTCACCAACCAAAGCCCAACAAAATCACAAACACTTTGGAAAAAACCTAGGGATCTCATGCTCCCAAGTCGCCGCCTCCACGCATGAACAGGCCAGAACCAGCTGTAGCCCCCTTCCAAATCAATCTTCTTCCACAACGCTCCACGACTGCAACCCAGTGACCCTCCCCAGCTGGTGCCCCGTCCACGCATGCCCAAGTCACCCAATGTGGTCCCAAATGATCCATCAGCCATGCAAAGACAAAACACAGGTTGTAAAAAATGAGGCCTTTTCCATTTTTTTACCGTTGTAAAAGGGGATGTAAACCCCCAAAAATCAGATTATATGGGGGGACTTTTTTTTCACGGTTGAAACGAAAGCAATACAGAGAACAAAAAGAACAAAAGTATTTTCAACGGTTTTTCATTCACTCGTTTCTTTTTTTTCTTTATCCATTTTTGAAGTAAAAAAATAAAAGAGTGAAGTCGGTTTACCTTGGTTGTTTGAGGTTGTTGCCAGTATTATAGCCGCGGGGGAAGTTGAGGTCGCATCCTTGTGCCAACCAAAGGGTTGCATGTTGGTTTAGGGGGTGTTGTTTTAGCATTTCAGGTGTTTTTGGGGAGATTACGAAGAAGAGTGGTAGCTTTTAGGTGTTTGTTCTTCTTTTCTAAGTTTACCCATGGTGGTCGGAGTGAATGAAGGCCGATTTATGGCCAAGGTTCCGCGAGGGAGTTTTGGTTTTTGGGGCTTGGTTGAGAGAAAGAGAGTTTAGGGGGGAAAAAAGAAGGGGCTTTATTTCATTTGGGCCTCCTCGGCTACTTCAGGTAACGGTTGGAGAGTGAGCCGCCGCCAAAATCCGTCGTTCGGAGCAGTTGCTTGGGTTTTGTTGAGGGGTCGGCAGCCAAATGAAAGGGATATTAGGGAGAGAGGGCTTTAGGTCATTTCTAGTCTTCATTTATATTCTACAATATTTCTATCTCTATGTCTATTCTAAAGATGAAATATTAATTTATTTTTAATATTATTTCTACATCACCATCACCATCAACTCTACTTTATTTACAATATTTAACTATTATAATATTAATTTTACAAATATAAAATAAAACATATACATTAATAAATATCAAGATAAAAAATATAAATAAAAATTCATAAATAACATTGCGAAAATATAAATAAATAAAAAAAAATACAATTTATAATAATAATGCGAAAAAACATAAGTTACATAATTATATATTTTAATTCTTGAAATTATAATATTCATTCGCTCGATTAGTACATTTAATCTACTTGAATTTAAAAAAATAGAAAAATTACAAAAAAAATTAGTATGCTTATTTATCTAATTTTAATGTATTTTTATTTATCTTGCAATTTAATCTTCTTGAATTAAAAAAAAAAAAAAGAATTGTAGCGTAGCCACAGTGTCGCGCCAGATGTAGCGCGCATTGTAGCAATTCTCCAAAGTGGAGATGTTTTGGGCGATGGACTGGATGTTGTTTTTTCTCCAAAGTGGATATATTCTCCAATTATAGCGCAACATTGAAGATGCCTTTAGTTTTTTAGTTTAGTTTTTTTTTCATTTAACCTAAATTAGCAAAATATGGAACATATATCATGGGTATTCGCGTTTTGGGTCCCTGAAATTCCACTGGGGATTCGTATTTTGGTCACTGTACCATCCATTTTAAATTTATTGCAATTTCAACTCACTGTTTTGTATCATTTTTAATATGGTCACTATTATCTCCGCTTCTGTTATTTTTAATTTGGCACTATTTCATTTTATTATTTTATTTTAGTATATTCCTATTAAATACTAATATTAAACGCTGATACAATCTTATGGTGACCAAAATTTTAATTTAACAGCTAATTTACTAACTTCTAACATCTAACTTATATAAAATATATTCGAATCATTTTACGACCTCGTGATGACCCACCTTGGGATATGATTCACATTATTTATGGTCTGGATAACAATTAAAAATTAACCCCTAACTTGTAATTTTATTCATTGATTTATTTTTATGTTATTTATATTTCAACCATTTAATTTTCTCTTATTTTGATTTATGCTTTTAATTATCAATGTTTACATTTCAATCCTTTAAATTTCAATTTTTCATTTTTTTCACTGTTTCAATTTAATCTTCATATTCTGATTTCTTTCACTTTAGTCCTTTATTTAATGTTTTAAATTAGTTCTATATTTTAAATTTTTTTCAATTTAGTCCTTTTTATTGCCTTTAATATTTGTATCCTTTTGATTTAGTCCTTGATAGATCACTTGTTTTTTCTTGTTTAATTTAACCCTTAAAGTTAGACACTTTTAAATTTAGTTCATACGTTTTTATTCAACTTAAAATTAGTCTTTAATTTAGGGAAATTTTATTTTGGTCATTTTTTTGCTCGAGGTTTCATTTTAATTAATTGAATATTCCATAATTAATTAAAATCGACTAGGTTAATAACTAGATCATCATAGGTTTAATTTCAATCCTCCATCTTAGGTTTAATTTTAAACTTAGTCCTTAAATTTAGGGGAATTTTTAATTTGGTCCTCACTTTTGCTCGAGGTTCCATTTTAATATTCCATAATAGATTAAAATTGACTAGGTTAATTATTAAAGTCTTCACTTTAGGCTTAATTTCATATTTAGTCTTTTAATTTAAGATAATTCTTAATTTGGTCCTCGCCTCTGCGCGAGGTTCCATTTTAATTATTCGATTCAAGAATTCATTAAAAATGATTTGGATTAATATTAGAGCCTACACTTTTAAGTTTAATTCCCTAGGTTCTTTAAATTTCATAATTTGACACTTCAAGGTAGAGGGAAACCTTAATTAACTCATTTAGTATAATTAGGTTCAATAACCGATTGCATTTTGTTTTAAAAATAAGGTAATGTTAATTTATTAGGGAGTTAGTAGTGTATCTCCCGCTTTTACCCAGGGATGGCCGTTATTGATTCTCGAAATAAATCAACATCCTTTTGAAAATCTCACATCATGATTTCTAAATTATTAAAGCAATGTTTATTTATTGGGGTCGATAACGAAACTTCTTTTTTTTCTTGGGGTGGTCGTTATTAGTCTTGTTAAATTTCATTCCTTTTTCAAAATGTGTATACATAGTGGATTTTAAACTGAGTACAATTTTGAACTCAAAATTTCCAATTTCAAAATACAGGGAATCGAATAGATACCAATTTTGGGTATCGTGGGAGTGCTAATACTTCGCCATGCGTAACTGACTCTCGAACCATATTTCTGATTTCGTAGACCAAAACGTGGTATTTTGATAAAAATAAAATGTTTTATTAAAATTATCTGATTTTTAGGTGTTCCAATTTCACCTTAAAAATGATTGTGGTGACTCCAATATTTTCGTAAAATTTAATTTATTTTCCAAAAATGTCAGATCGATCTTTCTATCGAAAATTGGTTACAAAAAAATTTAAAAAATCATTTTTCTAAAGAGAAAAGTTCGTAATTAACAAAAAATTTCTTTTTTAATGTGTCATTGATTTTATGCAATGTGTTGTAATGTCAATGGTTGTTTAAACTGCATGAAATTAAGAAAAATTTTAATCCTTGACAAGTGTCGTAATTGTCAAATAAATAAATCATTTTTCTCAATTAAATAAACTAAGAGTGTACACTACTGAAAAAAGGTTTGTAGCGGCACATGTAGTGGTGTTTTTTATGTAACTGCCACTAATGTTTTACATATAGCAGTATTTTTTAAACAACGCCACAAAGGACAACATTTGTGGTGTTTGTGTTGAAACACCGCAAGTTTCATGAACCTTTAGTGGCACTTTTAACACAAACGACTCTAAAAAAATGATATATAGTGTCATTATTTGGAAAAACACCGCAAATGGGTAAAGTATAGTGTCATTTTTGAAAAACGCCGCAAATAGCCAGCACTTGTAGTGGCGTTTTTACATAAAATGTCGTAATAGAGTTAAAATATAGTGGCATTTTTTTAAAAAATACCACAAAATGTTAGTCTTTAGTGGCGTTTGTGTATACAAACGCCGCTATTGTGCATACTTTAGTGGTGTTTATTAATAAAACGCCATAATTTTTTAGACCATAAAGTTCCTTTCATTCCTCACTTTATTCCTTTTGATTCATCTCTAATTTATTTTCTCTCCACCAAAACCCATATTTCTCTCCGCCACATGCCGTCCTTCTCGTCGTCACACGCCATCATTTTTTCCGTAAAAACCAACCTTTTCAACACATTCCATCCACCCATTCTATTATTCATTTCTAATCTGTCGTCATTTTCGGTTTTGTCTTCAGGTAAGCATTCTATTATTCTTTTCTCACGTTGTTATATGTCTCTCCTGGTGACCATATCGGGCCTCACCGACGAGAGATTGTTACTTTCTTTTTCTATTCAAAATTTTATCACGATTCCAAGGTTTGTTCACTTCTCTCGCTTTTGAACATTTTGATTTTTCTTCCTCTAGTTTTTGTGCGTGGATATTTTGTGTTGTTTTAGCTTGTGGGTGGTATTTTGTAGTTTGATATGTTGATTTTTCATAAGCATTACATTTAGTTTTTCTCTTGCCATTGTTTTGCATTGTTACATCTTGAAGTTAATTATTATAGCCTCTGATTTATAGATGTAAAATGGGGAAATCAGGGGGTTTTGGGTACTGAACAATATTACTAAGTTTTGAGTATGAGAATAGGTATATAACCTCTGATTTAATCTCTGAAGTTAATTGTTTTGCATTGTTGTAGCCTCTGATTTATCATATTGTCAGTAGTTGTCCCAAAAGCCTTAGTTTAAATAATTCAACAATCATAGAGACATAGGAATAGGTATATAACAATAAAGCAAAGGTGGAAAAGAAGAATAAGAAATGAATAAGACACTTCTAGGAAGCTTTCAGTAGGGTAACATTTTCTGCGTCATGATGCAAATTGTTTCTATGAAAACTTATCCCCCAGGATAGAATGCCTACTCACAGAAGAAAACGATTACACTTCAAGTTCTTCTTGAACACAAATGAACCACGAACTAAAATAGAGTGAAACAAAAGAAATTTCTTGAAGAGAATATCATGCAAAATTTTAGAGTTAATTGTGTGAAATGAATGTTGAAGAAATGTCACACCCTAATTTAGGCATCAAATTATAAGTTTTTGAAACTTATCGTCAGTTTTAGAATATGCAAGAAATTCAGGGACCCAATCCTGAATTTACCCATTTTTCTTATATGTTCAAAAATAAATTCCCCTCCCCATGCAATCTGTTTTCCCATAATGTTTTCCCCAATTTCCTTCCCCGTTAATCGTCATTTGTAGTTCTGATTCTCCACCGTCCAGCCACCGTTCGTCGATCTAAAAACACCAATAGACTCGCCATCAAATGATGAACAAAACTCAACCGGAAGCTTCATAGGTTTTAACTCGATCTCTATTGGTTTTTCATCGATTCTGGTCGATCCGGCCACCCGTTCATCATTCTTCCTACAGCATCAGACAGGAAGTTCTGCTGTGCGGCGGTTAAAAAATGGCGTGACTGGTTAAATAAGTGAACGGTTAAAATTTAGACCGGTTATGTTATATTATTTAACCGAAAATATTATCAAGTACAATAACATATTAGGTAGCGCTTATATAATGTAATAGGTAGCGCTTATATAATAAAATAGGCATTTAATCGGAAATATTAGCAAGAACAATACATATTAGGTAACGCTTATATAATGTAATAGGTAGCGCTTATATTGACCCATTTTCTAACTAAACCGGTATATTTATACCGGTAACATTGCAAATTTACCTATTACATTATACTTATCGGTTTCGATGTTTTTGGGATCGATACAATTTTAAATGTATCGACACTTTATGCTTGCACCTCGTTGGGCATTCATTCTGGAAAAAAGTA